CCCTGCAGCAACTGGCCCTGCTCCCCATGATACCCCTCCCGGCTCGATAACCCTCTGACCTGTCAACTGCTCGAACAAGCCGGCCATCTCCATAGTCTTCCCAATATCCCCCGATACCCCCGAGGGTGCTGGCGGACTAACAGGCACGAAAGAAGATGGAGGCACAGCCTTCCAAAGCCTCTTTGATATATGCCTGCTCCTGCCCATCACTGGATCAATCCCAGCAGTGTGGCGCTCGAGTGGGGACATGCTGGGCACGTGTGCCTCTACAGGGTGTGCAACAACGTCACCGGGATCCACCTGTCGCTTCTCCTCGCTGCGATGTGCAACCATAGCATCCACCACGATAAGACCATCCTGAGTGTGATTTGCGACCACATCCTCCATTGCGGCAACGGCAATGCCGACAAGTGCTCTATCCAACTGCCCCTCCACCTCCGTGCGATCACACCCAAGCAAACCCCCTGTGTCGTTCGTGGCCGCACCGTCGCCCCCGTCCGCCTCATCAGTACTGGGTAGTACCGTGTCCCTGGCCCCACGTAAACCACGCAACCCTACCCTCGCGTCCTCCTGGTGGTCGTCCGCACGATCCACCACGTGTCCCTCTGTGCAGAGTCCTCCATCATCTGCAACATCTGCAGGACCATCGTGTCTACACTCTGCTGCTAGTCTGGCGGCAGTGACCTCCTGTACACTACACCCCATCTCCCTCGCCCTGGCCGTGTCCTGCTCCAACGCAAGCCGCTGTGTCGTGGCACACCCCGACACCATCCGTGTCAAACGCTCCTCCTCAAGCACGTCCTCGGGGTCCATATGTAAGCCTACTGGCAACACGACCGACGTCGTCACCAGTCCTGCCCTCCTGTATCTCGCCTGGCGCTCTGGCAGCCTCTTTCAACAAACCTGAACTAGCACCACCAAAAACCAACCCTATGAGGTGTGCGACTTCGCTCACCGGTGTCTGAACACGCACCCCGTCGCGCAGAGCATCCGAAGTGGGTGGACGTCCAAGGTCGAAGTCGTCACTGAAAATGTCTGAGGGAATCGATCCCTGTGGTACCTCCAAACCAAATTCACGTCCGCCACTACCGCCCCCGCCCACTGCACTGGGGCAAGGAGTAACAAGGACGGCGCCACCCGCTCTGTCCTCAATCGGCCCACTACCGTCACCGCCATCGAATCCATGCTCGTCCCCGTGTCCTCTGTCCTGGTCAGGTCCCTCTCTCTCGACGTCGGAGTCCTCGTCATCAGCGGCATCTCCGTCGTCAGACTTGTCACCTCCCTCGTCCTCACTCGACGATCGCACAACCTGTGTCTGCTTGCGCCCTCTATCCGTCACACTCCTAGTCCAGGGAGGGGTCATGCGATCAACATCACAATGGCTCTGCCGATCCCGCGAACGCATGTCACTGGCAGCCTCATGATCACTCTCTCCACCGGACTCGTCACCAACATCAGGTGTGTCACTGCCTCTCTGCTCCAAGTCCTCCGGGTCCGTCCACGGCTCTGCCTCCATCTCGTCTGCAGCATG